CAAATTGAAAGGTAAGAACTTTATGTTCTGAAGAGAAGAAACTTCTACACATTAAGCATCGCTAGTTCTACTCAATTAATTAGAAATGAATATTGAAACAATGAATTATTAAGAGCTGCATAGCACATTTCGGTAGTATGTTCATTGATCACAAATTAACCCTTTGAGGACCGTGGGATACAGAGTGCTCTACAGTCCTAAAAGAGTTAATTTGAAACTAACATTTTTCAATATTTATCATTTTTTTTTGTGATAAAATACAGATAAAAAGCTTTGAATTCTATAAAGTCAATGATCAACATCTCTTCTGCTCTTTATGTTAGTGATAAACAATCGTGGTTCATGCGGTGTAGGGTAAAAGAAAGTGAGAAAAACTCTTGTTGGAGACATAGGAAAAGTTCACTTAGTTCAAACAGTGCATAGCTACCTGTTTCTCTCATACATCTGAACAAGATGATGCGAGAAGAAAGCGAGACAAGTAGAAGATGAACCATCACGTTTTCTTAAACTGACAATCCAAAATATTGTTGAATATAAATCTCTTCCTTTGACAGATTATAAGACATCAATCTTTGTACTAATTCAAAGGAATTCGGTTGCTCGTGTAAACACGATATTTTGTTTTCATCTTGGGTGTATATTTATAAAATATTTGTGAGAAAAGAAACACTTCCATAATCATGTCACATTTTTTAAAAATACTTGTCAAGAAGACTTTGTCACATAACACTCAATTAGAACTAACTATTGGTTTACAAGATGGTTACGAAAAACTAATAAAGACCGAAATACTATAGTCTTTAAAAAAATGGTTCATTCGTTTAGAAAAAATAAAAGCTACTGGTGTTTGTCAGATATTTCTGACTATTCCATATTGAAATTGCATCTTTATTATGCAAATCTTTGTTCATTCTCTTATTATTTTGTTTATGAATATATGACAAATAGAGATCATATATATAGTGCTGAAGAAGAGAACGCTTTCTATCAACAGAAGTGAAAATTCATCGATCAACACGTATATCTCGATGAGATCTAGTGGTCAACATTTGGCAAAGTTACTTTGCATCTTATGAAAAATGCCTATATTTTTCCGAATATATCTCATTTTTCTTGTGTCATTTTGTTTATCAGTATATGATCAATATAATCATATCTAGGATGAAACGCAAGAAAATTTCATAGTTAATAATCAAAAACCTCCCTTTCTAGTAGAACATGGTCACTAGTACAATATAAAGACCGACGTATTCCGCCATTACTATTGCGTCGTATTTTATGACTGTTATTCATCACTATTCTGCATGCATCATATCACATTATAAATAGGATTTTCCTTTTCTACCAAAGAAACACATACACCAACATTATTAACTGTGTAATGGCATATCAGATATTTCACAAAAGTATTCATTTACAAAAAACGTCATTTAATCGTGTTTCATATTTTAATTTCACAGAAAATGTACTGACAGCTACCTTAATATAGTATAGTTAGTTGAAAAATGGAATGATTGTCTTGTGAAAGTAATAGGGAACAAATTTCTATTCCAGAATCTAGCGCAATACTATTTTTCTGATCGATTAGACACTTGATTGGACGTAAGAATGAACCAATTAATGTTATTTGTTTTTTTTTCTTCTTTTAGTTCTTGAAACAGATGTTGACAGGAACAATATGTGATACTTATTTTATTTAAAAAACTAGCATACGTCAGACACTATTCACTTTTCATGTAGTTCCTATTCCGCGATTCATGAATCCTTTCCTTTTTCTTTCGTATTATGGCAATGATAATTTTGCTGATCTTGTTATTCAGATGATGTAATGTTGATCACATTACTCGGAACAAAATGCAATTCTCTAAAAGCATCGAATGTTTTAGCGAAATTTGTGATTTTATTTATCTTCACTAAGTTAGTTATTAGTATTTTTCTTTATTTTTATAGTATATATTTTTGGTTTATATCTGGTGCGAACGTAATCTACACTGTAACTGTTTTGCTAAATTTAAGAACCTATGAACACTTCTATATACAAACTTGAGATGTTGATGACTGTATTTTGTGACCCGACCCGTACGAGATCGAATCCATCTCACTACACAGGTTGAAGAAATCTTAATGTGTTACGAGTTGCTTGCGGGCTAACTCATAGGTCAAAACAACTTTCATTCGTGAAATATATAGTTATTAATCGACAGTTGTGTTATTCATATCTTCTTCTTTAAATCATTTGTAAAACTAAGATTTTTAGAATTAGGATATTATTTTTTATCTCTAAACAGATATATAGAAATATTAATCAATTTCAATCAAATTTAAAGAGAAAAAGTGCGTAAAAGTAACAGTATATGTTCGTATATACAACGTTAACATAGCCGACACAACTGTGCCTACGATAAATAATTATGATAAATGTGAAAAAAAACCGAAAAAGCTTGTCAGTACAGTTCCTCAGGGGCTAAAATGTCAGATTCACATACAACGTATAAGATAACGGTTAATCTAATATGAATTTCTTTTTCCTATAATGACATACTTGAAAATGTAGAAGAAGTAAAGTAAAAGAATGAAAGGTCTACATAATGAAAGATTTATTTGCTCTTTAATAATGATCAATATTACTGATAAAATATCACAATGTTTCTCAAAACATATTCGATGTGATTAAATTGTTGTGGGTTTTTTTAATTTATAAAACTAAAAAGAAGGTTGATTAGTTTATGGTGAAGAATTCATTTTCTTTTTTTAACAAGTAGCAACACTATTGTTTTTATGATAAGAAAAAGAAAAATATACTACAACAATCAAAATATATGAACTAATAAATGACTATCATGATATTTCTCACGAATTGAAAAAGTTACAGATGGATACTAAAGCACTAACTAGTAGACAAAAAAAACATTGTCTTACTATCACTAGTGACTTATTAGTACCTTAATTCTACACTCTTGCCTTTGCTTACTGCTCTCTTCGATCCTGAAATTTCAATCAATGTTGTTGACTATGCAGATTTCTTATTTTCACCTTCATAATTGTGGGTGACGACAGCATTTAAGAAGAGAAGTAGAGTCATGAATCATCGACTTACAACTTACAGTCACTATTTCTCCCAAAACACATGCAGCATATGCATTTGTGTACATGCTTCAAAACGAGTAGCTGAATGGCTGAAACGAAGTTCTAGTGAGAACAAATAACAGAAAAAATCTAAGGGTGAAGAACGGCAGAATCAATAAAAGCAACTAAATCAATAGAGGAACGAAGAAATTGGAAGAATAGTGAACGTAATTATATGCAAAACAAAAGAATAAAAGTGAAAAAGCAAAATTAGCAAACGGGTGGACTCAGTGAATACAAGTAAAAGTATAACCGAACTCGTGAAACCCATAAATCATAAAGATATAGAGCCTGTGATCTGCCAGCGTTTCAACTCACCGACTGGCCGTATCATCGGTTGAATCAAAACGGATCAGTCTGCCAACATCTCTAATACGAGATGATCGATCTTTTTATTGATCTAACGGGGAAAATCTCTAGGTGTTTCGTTTGAATTTCAATGAATGCTATATGGCTTTATCAAGGCAGGTATTCTAATCCCCAATTTGGAAAAAATAACAGCTGAAACTGTTCTAAGAAAAAACCTCGCACTTAAAGCAGTTTTTAACTAGATCCTGAGGGAGATCAGGGATGAATCTTTCGGCAAAAAAAGGTTTAAAAAAAAAATTGAAACACTCCTAAGTCGATTTACTTATCGGTGCTGATTCCAAATATATTTTTCGTTTTGACTCAAAACGAGTTTTTGTGATCAAAATCTGATGAATACTAGTCAAAAACGTACAAAATCATGTCTTGAGAATAGTTTTCTCCAATTTTTTTAAGTGTCTAGTATTTTTGGACTTTAAGAAATACACGGTTTTATACCATTTCAAAAGCGCTCTCAATTGATAGATGAAGACTAACATGAACCAAACGATGTGTTTCTCCATTTGTCGACAGAACAACAAGAAGAACGAAATTCTCAGCTAACTTACCATTAATTGCAAATCAATTGACAAATAAAAAACACAAAAAACCTGTTTTCGATAGGTTTGTTATTAAGAAGGTCGATATAGAATTTAATGCTCTACAGGAAAGAACTGTCTTATTTATCTCTGCATCTAAAATAGAACTTTTTCTTTGTTTCTTACAGGCGCTCTAATTTTCGTTTGCATAGTTACCATTCGCTCGTTATTTTTCATTGTCATATTTCATTTTTCTCAACGTTAACATTGTTTTTATTATAAGCATTGAATTAAATGGCAAATAAGGTTGTTGTAAATATCCATCATGTCTACAGCAGCAGATCTTAACGTTCTATGGATTATATATCTCGATCAACTCGCAAATACTGATATTGATTACTTTCCAAAGTTATAAATTGATCTATTTAGACACTTTGTTTTGATCATATAACATATGTAGCAAATTAATGCATTACTATAGAGTATAATTCACATCCTGAATATGGATTTTTGTCTGCGCAAAAATCAAAAATTGCACTAGTTAAAACATTCACTAATGTATTTCAGCTATTCAAACTTCAATGAAAGATTTCGAATATTCTAGAATCTTCTAAGGTTTGTTGTTAATGTCATTCAGCGACTTTTTCTATTGTTAAGGAACGCCGGGAAAGAGTTGGATGCCGATTATCTTCAATTGCTAAAGTTTTCTTTTTATGGAGAGCGAAAAGATTGTTGCTGAAGTCAATAATGAGAAGGTGGAGATCACAAAGTTTCGATCTGAAACTTACAACCACTCTTTTCCTCAACAATATATGTGAATTTCACATAATGCTCTTTAAAATCTTGTATGCAAATGGTATCAACGAGAGTCATTAATGCCCAACATTCGATAACATTTTAAGGACCTTTCACTTATTTCAGAAGCTGGTGCAATATTTGAATCAACATACAACAACTCAACATTCCTTCAACATTTTTCTCTTCTTGACAATGGAAAATAGAAAAAAATTAAGTGATGATGCACCTACGCATCCTCAGCAGTGCCGAATATGTGGCGATGTTGCACGTGGTGTAAATTTCAGTGTTATGTCATGTATGTCTTGTAAATCGTTTTTTCGTCGAAATGCACACAAAAAATCGGTGAGTGTTACCTATCTTTAAAAAGAAAATAATACCAGCAAATTGAATAGCTCTTATCACTTTGTCAATTTGAAAGCGACTGTCCTATAACAAAAAGAACACGCAGTTACTGTTCACCTTGCCGTTTAAAGAAATGTTTCGAATTAGAAATGGATCCGGCACTAATTCGATTTATTCCTGATTCGAGAAATGTCTCCAAGAAAATCCAAAAAGTACAAACGAAGGAAGATAAACAGATTCAGTTACCAAGAGTAATAATATTTCTTGAATACTCTTTGAGAATGATATGTTTGTTGATCTTTTTTGTATAGTCTTTACCACTTGGTCTTCTTCAAAATGATCGCTCAACATTAACAACTAATGAATGGACTCTTCTTTCGAATTGTCTTCATGCATTTGATGAGCAGAATCCTTCTGCACGAATTCAAAATTCGTTAAATGAGTTAACTTCACTACCACCCAAATTACGTTTGAAACCATTAGAGCTCACGAATCTTATTCGCGAACTTTTTAGCAGTATTGGACCACTCATTGAACGTTCATCAGATTTTCATTCGTTACCAGTTAATGTTCGTCAAATTCTTGTTAAACGTAATTTGTACATCACTGGCTCGATGAATGGACTCTTTTTGTGTCGTGAGCTGCACGTATTGGATAATATGTCTGTTCTCAATTCTTACACCCAGTTGTATGGTTGTGAATATATGATAGAATGTCGTCGAAAAATTGCACGATATGATCCAAATGGAAGTCTTATTAAAATCTTCGTATTCATATTAGCTTTTTCAAGCAATTGCTCACTTGTTACATATGATAGTCAAGCAGATCTTACAATTATGTCAAACTCAATCCATTTGGTTCCTATTCAAAATGTATATATTACGATGTTGTGGAAATATATGATATATCTATATGGATTCAAAGAAGCAGTACTTCGATTTACTCGACTTATAAAGGATGTTCTAGATTTAGTTAATATGTTAAGTCAGGCTCCTCAGACAGAAACTCGTAGCCGTATTATGAATCCAATCGTAACAGAAACAGAACATACATTGATGAATGGCAACTGAATTACAGACATTTACAGAAATTTTCATATCAGTAACAGATGCTGTTGATATCTAACGTTTTTTCTTATTATGAATACTGAGACTTACACAAAAGAAATATGTCGATGATCATCAATATGGTGCTCTCAACAGTACTGTTATTTATTGTATAACGTTAAGCTAAAAACAAAGAACAATTATGTATTGAAAAATAAAATAAAATGGAGAGAAAATGTGGAAAGATTTTCGATTGAAAAATAAACAGAAAAAGCAGTCATTATTAGCAAAAATTAAACTTACAACAGCTAACTGTACACTAAACAGTAAACATTGAAATATGTGAAATTTTCGAAAAAATATCATATTTGATGATACTCTTCCTAGCACATAATGCAGTTTAAGTCATAAATTCTGCATTGAATTCTACCTGATATATCTCAGTTCAGTTTATTCCTACAATTTAATTTCAATTGATCTTGTTAATTTCCACGAAGACAGTGTTGTACAAAACAGCGTTTTAACACTAATTTTAAGAAAGAAAAACAGTATTTTCGGATTGAGACCAATCGTTTTATTTCAACGCTTCTAGACACATCCTTTTTCTAATTATGAAACATTTTTTTAACTTGAACTATCATGTAAAAACGCTGCTAGAACGTGCTTGGAAGAAAAAGAGTTCTTTTTCTTCGCAATGCATATTATATGAAACATCATTTGAATGTGTTTACTTTTTTTGTTTCAACGCACTAATGTTTTTGCTTCTTCTACTGAGACAATTCTTTTTTTAATAACACGTTAGATGAATGTTTTTCGAATAGTTTTTTTTCAAGAAGAAAATGACTTACTTCACATATAACTAAAACTAATATTTGAATTAATATTTTAAGTAACAACATTGTTTCACAAGGTAAGAATCCACTAACGTTTAGGTATACATCTCGCAGTATGACACTCAAAAATAGATCGCTTAAATAGATATGTTTTAAAAATAAACTTTTCTACTATAGTATAGCCAAATATATTTGAATTTTATAAAAGCAAGAAATAATTGTGTGAGAGAAAGGATGAATGCATATGAATAAAAGTTATCTTTGACTAAAAAATTTTTTGAGCCATTTAGAAAAGTTATAAATAATATGATGACAAGATAACAAAGATGTTTAATTATTTACATGCAACTAGTAGTCATAAAGTGCTGTTTTATTTTTAATTAAATTTCTAGTGAAGTATACTCGAAGAATTACTTTTATGATATTTTCAATTCATTCCAAAAGATTAGATGTGAAAAGAAAAAATAAGTTCACTTTTGTTTATTACCATCACTATAATTTACTTTTAAACTTTATCTTAGTTTTTATTCTTCCATTAGTGAATTATGGTACAGTCCGCTGAAAAACGCTAGCTGTGTTTTTCCACATAAAAAAGGACGACTATATGCATATATAATTAAACTATTCTTTCAGTAAGCAATACATTTTAGTGTACAAAGTTTTTCATTCTTATTGCCTTCCTCTTTTTCTTTATATTTTTTTTCTATTTTGTATGCCTTCACAATGAAGTTCCTTTAGGCTTCAAATAAGCAACGCGCATTAAAAGTGAATTAAGAAATGACATTGGTGTTGCGACGTGGAAACACCAATCATATTTCTTAATAAATAGTCATCCATTTCCCTTTTTCTTTCTATGCACCTCATCTGTAATGGATAGCCGGAGTATATCATAATGAAACTGAGTCAAACATATCTAAGACATATGAAATATTTTCATTGGATAAATGGTTTTACAAACATCTTGTTTTTTTCTTCATATGAATAAAAAAATTCTCTTCGGATTAATCTTATTCGTTTCTTTGGAATATCCAAAATAGTCTGATAAATGGTCCATACAGAGATAAGTAATACTTAAGCATGTTTCTCAGAAATGATGAGTTTCATATAAAAAATTCAGATATGTTGATAAAAAAAGAAACAATTAAAATTTTGTCAAATGAAAGTACTTTTTTTATGTCAATGTTCATTTCTTCATTAATAATATCAGAAGAGATAGTTTTATAGAAAAATATGATGCATTGAAGCAATCTAATAAAAGAATATATTGGAAAAAAATATTGTTTGTACAAAAATTACAACGTTGCAGCTTTGTTTTTCGGTAGAATATTTAGTGATCACGTATTTATGTGAAACTCTTATCCTTTAAAAGTTAATATCAGTCGATGAGGTCACGTGATACAAATGGTTCAATCAACTATGCTTTTTACAGCTATTAGTTTTTAAGAAAAGAAGTTCATAATACTCTACGTTTTTATTATGTGAAATTTTCTTGATTTCAAGCTTGCTAACTACTTTAAATAATCACAGAACTTGATATTTTTGTTCACTTTCTCGGATGGAGGACACAAGACAAGAAACTTCTCTTTTACCTTCTTCTGGTTATAGAATCCACGGTTGAGTTCAATCTACTTTAGCAATAATTTCTGGTACTACCCATACAGATGCAGTATAAGAAACAATTAATTAATGGGAAGATGTATTGTTAAAGTTTTTTCGTTTACAATACAAGTAATTTCGTTGTATTTCATATTTTAATGTCGCAGAAAATGCCTTGGTAGTCGCCTTTGTATTGAATATAGGGTTGCAAAATTGATATGTTTAATCGTCAAAAAGATAGTTATGCTTTTATGATATTGTAATCTAGTGCCACACTGTTATTGCATGTTTCACTAGATATTTGATTGGACGAGCGCGATAAGCCAATAAATTTTATTTCTTTTTTGTTTTTCTATATTTTTCTAATATAATTAGAGAGATATGGTTCAAGCAGTGTATACAATTGGATCCGAACGAAGATGTACTATGTCAATCTGACATGATGAAATAAAACTGAAATTCTTCATTAGTGCATACTTCTAAACCATATTCTCTACAAGAATGAAAGATAGAAAGGGTTTATGCAACGTAGCATCTCGCTTTTCAACAAATTGTCGCATCTGTGGTGATGTTGCGCGTGGTCTAAATTTTAATGTTGTAACTTGTATGTCTTGTAAATCGTTTTTTCGTCGAAATGCACACAAAAAATCGGTGAGTTTTACCTATATTTAAAAAAAAAAATAATTTTCTTTCAACAAATTTCAATAGCTTATGACACGTTGCCAGTTTCAAAATGATTGCAATGTAACAAAAAAAACACGTAGTCACTGTTCATCTTGTCGTTTAAAGAAATGTTTTGAATTAGGAATGAATCCTATATTAATTCGAAATATTCCTGATTCCACCAATATCTCTAAGATAGGCCAACAGGTACAAATGATAGAAGACAAAGAGATTCACTTACCAACAGTAAGATTATTTCTTGAATTATCTTTGAGAATGGCATGTTTGTTTTTTTTTTAATAGCCTTTACCACTTAGTCTTCTTCGCAGTGAACGTTCAACATTGACAACTAATGAATGGACTCTTCTTTCGAATTTTCTTCATGCATTTGATGAACAAAATCCTTCTGCACGAATTCAAAAATATCTTAATGAATTATCTTCACTACCACCCAAGTTACGTCTGAAATCATCGGATACTTACAATATGGTTGGTCAATTTTTTACAGGTGTTCAGTCACTTATTGGGCATTCACCAGATTTATATTCGTTATCATTTGATGCTCGTAGAGCTCTTGCTAAACACAATTTGAGTACTGTCGGTGCTTTTAATGGTATTTTTCTTTGTCGCGAACTCGATTTATTCAATAATCCGGTTTTTTTCAATGCCTGTTGTTTATATTATGGAGCTGAATTTATTATGAATTGTTCTCGACATTCCGCACGATGTGATCCAAATGGAAGTCTTATTAAAATGCTGTTATTCGTTGTGACTTTCTCCAGCAATTGTTCAATTGTAACATTTGATGATAAAGAACCTGTCACAATTATGTCAACATCAATAGATCTTATTCGCATTCAGAATTTATATGTAACGGTCTTATGGAAATATTTAGTTTATGTATATGGTTTTAAAGAGGCAACACTTCGATTTTCTTATCTTGTTAAAAACATTATAGATATAACTCATATGCTAGAGTCAATGCCTAAAAATGAAACACATGATTTGATGATTGAGACAATTGCAACAGAAACAGAACGTGCATTGGTCATAAAAGACTAAATCAGATTTTCATTTAGGCTTTAAATGAATATAGATATGTTTTATGTCTTATCGTTCATGTAATTTTATTGTATTTTTGTTTATAAAAATCAAACGTCAATTATTTATTACAAAACCAATGGAACTTACTATGATTTTTCAAACAATGAAATGAAAACATGAATTCTTACTATTGAAAATAGAAGCATTTAGAACAAGAAACTAACAAGAATTAGTACATAGAAGAAAAATGTATTCGAATTCATCTAAATATTATAATTTTGTTCAGAAAATCTAGTTTAATAAAATCTATAAATAAATAACAGCTTTAAGTTGATCATTGTGTGGCCGTTTAATTGTTTTACTCAATTAATAAACAATGTTGAGTTTCATTAATTCTTATTTTGATGTAGTGATACCGAATGAGCAAACATCATTGTTCAAGTTGCAATCCATATCAACTAAAACATTAGTTAATATTGATAGAAAAATATTTGATAAACAATTATTTCTGTTTGTGTAGAGTACGATTCATCAAGGTGAAATTGATTTGCATTTATGTATGCTGTAGTTTTAATTAGTAGTATTTTTATGTCTCATACTTATTATTTTTCTTTAACGTAACTACTTGGTGTGAAATGTTTTGGTTACATATTCAATACGTACATCTTATCTATAAGATATACTCTTTTGTTGCAAATTGTATAAAGTACGAGAGAAAAAGTAAGAGAAATAGAGAGATGTATCAATGACTTTTTTTTTAATGAAATGTTATTAAGGGTTTTTATATTTTTATTGAAAGAATAAACAAATGCATACATTTAATGATTAAAGTTTTGAAGAAAATAATAGAAGTTTTTGCTGTGCTAAAACATTTATTTTGAGCGACAA